TCTGAAGCTGAGAGAGTGTGACTTGCCCAAGATCACCCAGTGGGTTTTACGACTGAGCCGAGAATTGAACCCTGGACTCCAGAGTCACAGTCCCACACTCAAACCATTGTGCCATACTGGCTCTAATAATTACTTTGGTAAAGTATATGAATATAATTAGGCAATGCTTATTAATATAATGGGTTTCCTCTATTTAGGATTAGTCTTTGAATATAGCCAGGGTTGACCAAAATTCCTTCTGGAGGACATGTCCTGGAAATGGAGGATGTGTTCTGAAATGGAGGACATGTCTAGGAAAAGGAGGATATTGGCTCACCCTGAGCTGTTGGGGCTTTCTTCTTCCCTCTGAGAGGGCAGTGCTCCCTAGTGGTGGGAGCCCTGAGCTTGGTGGCACTGGGTTCTCAAGCCCACCCTCTCCTCCTGCCTTGGGATCCTGAAACAGCTGGGCACCCCTGGATTAGTGGTCCTTAATGGGCTTGGACAGCTGGTGAGCACAGACAAGGGAAGGATGCAAGGATGAGGGGCTAGGGTGACCAGGTGTCCTCCTTTTCCAGGACATGTCCTACTATTGTATCCGACTTATCGCAACCCCAAGGTGGCCTGATCCTGGGGTTTTCCTGGCAAGTTTCTTCCGAAAGGGTTTGTCATTGCTATCCCTTGAGGCTGAGAGAGTGTGACTCACCCAATGTCACTCAGTGGGTTTATATGGCCGAGCTGGTAACTATGACTTCTTCTTCTATTGTACAATTCCAACAGGGAGAGCAAGTCCCTGCAAGAGGCTGCCTGCCTCCCATCCCACCTGTTGCACCCTTGATTTTCTACAGAGATGCTGGTGGCTTTCAGGCATGTATTTTCTACAGATCTCTGGCGCACACGTGGATATGCTTTTCTGCGATGAAAGACATATCTGATCTGAGCAACCAAAGGTTTACCAGATAAAGAAAAGGAAACCTGTGCCCTACATTTATCAACTGTAAAAAGAATCAAAGGGGAAAGGTGGAGCATCTATATTCAGAGGCAGTATACCTTGTCTAGCGATCTAGCATAGCATAGTAGCTTGAACTATAGACTATGACTAGTAGCTGGACTATGACTTTGTAAACCAGAATTCATTCCCAGCTTGACCATGAAAAGCCACTGGGTGACCTTGGCCAAGTCACAGACTCTTAGCCAAAGAGGATGGCAATGGAAAACCCGCTCTGAACAAATCTTGCCAAAAAAACTAAAAACAAAGCCCAGGATAGGTTCACCTTAGGGTCCCGATGTTGTGAAAGCTCAACAATAAGCAATACTTTGTATTGCAAGACTAGATGAAGAACTGAAGTCTGGCCATCCTTTATGTGCCTTGTTTGTGAGCTTCTCACAGACTCTTGGTGCTTTTGTCAGACACTTCCCCAGCTACTTTTCTAGAATTTTAATTGGGGGTGGGTGGGTGCAGATTGTGTTATCTTCCATTTGTAACCCTCCTGTGTTTTCCTATTGCAACTCCCTCCCCCTTACTTTTTCTACAAGAAATCTATTAAGGAAAGAAAGATGTGGAACGGCTGCACAATGAAGTGCTGTTAGTGTTTTTCTCAAGCATTCACTATAGAAACATCCCAAGTGTTTTTCTCAGGCACTCACTATAGAAACATCCAAGTGCTGGAGAAAATGGATTTGAGGTCACATTTAGTAAAATAAATCCTATTGAGTTGTTTTTATTCCCCTGAACCAGTTAAATCCTTTTGCCTCCACAGCTCTGCCTCAGTCACCCCATCTGCGTAATGGCACTATGATTTATCTGTTCTGCATAAATATGTGAAAAGTGGTGAGCCAGCGTGGCTACAGTAGTTTAAATGCTGGACTACAACTCTGGAGATCAAGGTTCGATTCCCTGATCAACCATGAAAACCATTGGGTGATCTTGGGCAAGCCACACTCTCTCAGCCTCAGGGGAAGGCAATGGCAAACCTCATCTGAATAAATCTGGCCAAGAAAACCCCATGATAGTTTCACTTTAGGGATGCCATAAGTCAGAAACGACATGAAGGCACACAACAGCAAACTGATATAGTGGAGAATAGAAAAAGGGTCACACTGTCTCAGCCTCAGAGGATGGCCATGTCAAATCTCCTCTGACCAAATCTAACCAAGAAAGCCCCATGATCATTTCCCCTTAGGGTCACCATGATTCAGAAACTATTCAAAGGCACACAACAACAAGGTAGAATTACACTTCTTATGATAAATGTTCCATTTTATATGTACCTGGACTTTTTTTTTAATATCTTTAAATAAAATCTTATTTATTTTAAAATAAAAGCCCAGGTTAGTGTATTTGTGACCCTGTTTGCTAGTGTGTGGAGTCTTGTACATTTCAAGTATGCTTTTCTATGCTGTTGTTTTATTTGTGTGCGGAGATAGTTTTAGAAAAGCTGTTATTGTTACAGCATTTACTTTATTCCACCTCTATTTTGATGAACTTAGAAAAGCCATTATTATGGGTCTGGGGCTCAATCTCATGCTAGTTTTGACTCAAGCAGACCCACTGAAAGGATGCTTGTGACTTGTGAATCATCATCACCTACGTCAATTCTGTTCCTTGGGTCTACTCTAGTTGGGACTAAACATAGATTTAACCCCAGGAATGAGAAGTATGATCTTCTCTGAAGCCATTTCGAATCATAGTTCTAATACAGGATGCAAAGTTGGTTTCGGAAAGGCAGGTATCCAAATTTGATGGAGATGATCCCCAAGAGGAAGCAAGCGAGGAGAGAGCGCTTTAGAGTATCTTACCTTATTGCTGATGCTACCTGTTCCTTTCAACAGGTTAAAGAGGCAGTGTTTTCTGGCTCCTGGCCCCTCTGTCCATCCGTCCAAAGATCCAGGTGATTGTTCTCCCCTAAGAAAGGAAGATGAGGTGTGATCCAGATGTGGTGGGACTATCTGAGCCCCAGTGATGTGGGCAAGGCTGATGCTGATCCTCCATCCATTCAAGAAAAGCCCCGGCACTGAGTGTGAGAGAGCTGGATTAGCTGTTCCCTGTGAGATGTATGTGTGTATGTGAGATGAAGAAAGAGAAAGGGAAGGAGAGGAAAAGAGAAAGCTAGTGCTGATGTTGGAGGAGGCAAGCTATTCTATATGCAGAGGAAATTCAGCTGCCCAATGGAATCAATGCAGTCAGAAGGAGTGTCTCCTTTGGCACTTCCCTCTGTGGATGTATTAGCCCAATCTATCCTTCTTTGGTTATAGATTCTCACACACACACACACACACACACACACACACACACACACACAGCCTTCCTCTTTCTCTCTTCCAGCTTGACAGCTAGCCTTGTGATTGAGTCCTACAAGACTTTTAAGGGTGACCTTGGATGAGTCACACTCTCTCAGCCTCAGAGGATGGCAATGACAAACCCGCTCTGAAGAAACCTGCTAAGAAAACCCCATGATAGATTCGCCTTGTGTGTGTGTGTTGTGTGCCCTCAAGTCGTTTCGACTTTTGGCGACGGACTTTGGACACATTGTGGGAAGGCATGAATCGTTGGAAAAGATGATCATGTTAGGAAAGGCAGAGGGAAGTAGATAGAGAGGAAGGCCACATGCTAGATGGAGGGACTTTATTAAAGAGACCACGAATATGAGTTTGCAAGAGCTGGGCAGAGCAGGAGAGGACAAGGGGGCCTGGAGATGTCTCATTCATAGAGTTGAGATTCATGTGAAGGCAGTGAACAACAACAAAAGGCAAACCTATCATGGGGTTTTCTTGGCAAGATTTGTTCAAAGGAGGTCTGCCATTGCCTTCCCCCGAGAGAGTGTGACTTGCCCAAGGTCACCCAGTGGGTTTCATGGCCAAGCTGGGAATCTAACTCTGGTCTCCGGAGTCATAATCCAAAACTCAAACCACTACACCTTGCTGGCTCCCCAGGTTTGCCTTAGGGTCACCATAAATTGGAAATGACATGAAGGCACACAAAAATAGAGAAAGACTTCTATGGGCATAATATTTGGATTCGAGGGGCAGCATGGCAATGAGCTTAACTTGGTTAACAATTGCTGAGTTAGCCTTCTTGGCCTGGGTGGGTTTCTGATGGACTACAGTCTCCAGAATCCCCCCCCCCCCAACTAGGAAACTTGGCACCAGGTGGAGGAAGCTAGTCTGAGCAATAGTCATTTTGGGGATATGAAGGTAATAGAAGTTTTCACTGTTAAAATACAGGAAGGGATAAAATCTTATTTATTTACTTAATTTATATCCCATTTATCTTCTGATATGGGACTCATGGCTGCAATAAAAAGATAATTAAGCAAGTGGCAGTTATCTCTCAGCCTCAAGCCCTCACCCTGTTGCTTTACAAAGTAGTTATATATTTTATTGTTGTTGCTGTTGTGTGTGCATTTCTGACTTACAGTGATCCTAAGGTGATCTTATCATGGGGCATTCCTGGCACGTTTCTTCATTGCCATCCTCTGAGGCTGAGAGAGTGTCATTTGTCCAAGATCACCCAGAGCTGGGATTGGTCTCCAGAGTCATAGTCCAACACACAAACCACTACAGCATGCTGGTTCATACTATATTTTATAGGGTTTTTTTAAAAATTGGCCTCAACGTGGTTTATGCTAAGAACCCCCCTTTAAAAAAAACAAATAAATACAAATAAAATTTAATCCACAAAATGAAGCATAAATTACAGCAACCTCCTTTACAGCACTGTTGTAAAAGCCATTTGGTTTATGTATGTGAAGCAGTTTAAGCACTTGGATGGTGGCAGAGAGATTACTACAGTATATAAATATTAATGACTTCTAATAATCTCTTTTCTAATGCCCTGCATTGGCCTCAGATGAGAAATTAAAGTGATCTTTTTTCATCAATGGCCATTAATTGGTGCATGCGAGCTTCGGAACTGTACTGGATTCTTCATAGGAAATTGCCTTCGGGTTCTATATACAACTTATCCTGATTTTTTTTTCCTTTTTCTAGAAGGGTTCCTTCTGGCTCTTTGGCAAGAGCTTGGCAGACGGAGGTCTAACAGGTGCTGTCTTTGCTGCCATAGTGCTGTGATGGAATTTTAGTGCTGGAGAAAGCATCCCTAGTTCAATTTCCACCCAGTTTACAGTAGTTAAAGACTCCAGCACC